CAGCTCCCATTTGCTGATAGGTCCTTAATTTTTTTCATTAATGATTCTTAAAAGTCCTTAAACGTACTTAATTTTCACGTGCAGACATGTGTATGAACCCTGCTCAAGCAATGAAGAAAATTGTTAGATTTACCATGGAAGTTACAAAAAGAAATTGTTGAAATGTGTGAAGATGGAATGCATATCCAGGATTTAATTGTTTCATATTATATGCCGAAAATGATAGCTCTATGATTTACATCGGCTAACACTGTGAAGGGGGAGAATAGATTACCAAACAATGATAAGAGACATTAGAATATGGTGAAAAATTTTGATCTGGATAGCAGAAAAGCATTCATTTACAGTATCATGTATTGTTTGTATTTCACCTAAAGCAGGGGTTTCCAAAGTGTGTGTCATGGTGCCTTGGGATGAAGTGAAGAGTAAACAGGGGCTATTTATTCTGTTTAACTCTTTTATGAAATCTAAATTCAAATTGGTTGCGCTGCACAAATTGCTCATTGCATAGGAAACCAACAACAGCGCTCTCCTTCCTCATGTGGAATTTGGGTTGGTTTTTTGCCATGCCAAATTCTTTGCTAGCCGACTCAGAGGTTTCCAGAAGCCTGCATTCAACCGTCACGTCACATTGACAGGAGCTGTTGTGAGCACTCATTTGTGGTAGTATATAAGCCATATTGCCAAGTTAGGTTATTGTAAGTGTAAAAATTTCACTGCTAAGAAGTAGTAAAAGTGTGTGATACAGAGGGTTGTGATTTACAAACGCAGGATAGATAAATGTTATAATATCTTTTTACACATATATGTGTGAGCAGTTCGGTTGCCTTGTTTTAATTGTGCTGTTTTGCATTTTCATAAAAGGTTAGTCACAAAATGGAAAAATTTTTATTAAATAAGCAAGTCGATCAAAGAGAAGCCTTGGCAAGTAGCTGGGAAGCAAAAGGCAGAAGTATCACAAATACGATGGTAGCTATTTAGACTTTGGCTTTATTTCAGTAAAAGTAAATAATGGCTGCATGAAGAAAGACTACAATGTGTGCTGTGTTTGAAAATTCTATCAAGAGTATGCTCCCAAGTAAGCTAAAACGACATCTGGAGACCATTCACCCTAATATGTTTGAAAAATCGAGCAAAAAGTTTAGTAGGAAGTTGCAGAATTAAAAAAAAAAAAAATTCACTTAGCAAGCTTTAGTACCTAGCGCAACACACTGCTAGCATCTTTCAATCAAGGTGGCATACAGGGTGGCAAAATGCAAGAAACCTCACACCATCACAGAACTTATTTTACTGGCTGCTCTCAATATAGTTAATATTATGGTAGGAGAATCAGCAGGATAACTAATTACAAAGGTACCTTTACCTAACAATACTATAGTCAAAGAATCCGTCATATAGCTGAGGACCTCAATGACCAATTAATAGAGAAAATGAAAGGTAAGGAATTTGGTTTACAACTTGATGAGGCTACTGACAGTAATAGTATAGATGCATACCTTATTTGTTACGTATGTTTTCTAGATGACAATATTATTGTTGAAGACCTTCTTTTCTATAAAAGCATCAGTGAAGGCGCAATGGCTCAAAATTTATTTGAAATCCTTGACAAGTTTATAACAGAAAATAATTTAGATTGGGAAAAGTGTATCGGTGTGTGTACTGATGGTGTTCGATTAATATCTGGCAGGTATGGAGGATTGCAAGCTCTTATTCGCAGTAAAGCACCACATGCTATGTGGACCCATTGCATCATCCATAAGGAAACACTTGCATCAAAATGAGCTGTGAATTGAATTTGGTCTTAGAACGTATCATAGACATAGTAAACTACATACAAACTAAGCTGCTGAAAGTCAAACTTTGCATGGACAGGGGAGCTGAACACACAGCCCCTACTATATGACTGAAGTTCACTATGGCTTTCACATGGAAATGTTTTATCCTATGCATTCGAGCTACATCAAGAAATTCACACTTTTTTTGCAAGAGGAAAGACATGCAAACTCCAAATACTTTGCTAAACCAAATTTTTTACTAAAAGTGGCATATTTGTGCAATATATTTGACAAATTGAATGCCTTGAATCTGTCTCTATAAGGCAATAATGTAGACATCTTGAAACGTTTGGAGAAGATTGTGGAGTTTAGAAGAAAACTGCAGTTGTGGATAAGAAAAATTAATGAGAATAGCAGTCAAGATTGTTTCCCCAAATTGCATAACTACATGACCTCTAATGAGATCACTAGCTTTCAAAAATTGCTGTCTCTTTTCATGGAACACCTTTTGAAGCTCACTGAATAGTTTGCAAAATACTTTGTGGAACAAAATATCGAGAAATATTCGTGGATCCCAAATCCTTTCCATACTTAAGCTCCACCAGAATTCACTTCACAAGAAGAAGAGAGTGTCACTGACCTCTCTTGCAACAACAGCCTAAAAACACATTTGCTTATTCCGATTTGGTAGAGTTTTGGATAATCATTAAAAATGAATAACCAACTCTAAGTTCAAAAGCTTTAAGGATTCTCATTCCTTTTGCAGCATCATATTTATGCGAAACCAGAATTTCAGCTGTAGCTGTAATAAAGATCAAATATTGTTCTAAGATCAGCGTGGAACAAAAAATGAGAGTGATAGTGTCAAATCTTATCCCACGCTTTAAAGAGATCAGCAAGCTCAGTCGTTACATTGATTTTTTTCTTATTTTTCTTTAATAATAACAATATAATATTCTTGTGTATCAGTTTAATATATACCTATATGAGCCTCATATTGTGGTTGTTTTCGTTTCTGTGCTTGTGATTTTCTATGACACTATGTAGTAAGCAGGCTGTAAAGCGCAAACCAACACTTCGTTGAACACGACTAGGGCTCTGTGACAAAATAGTAAACCTCTAAGTTTGCTGCCAACTGAAAAAGTTTGGAAACACCTGACCTAAAGCATTTATATTTTAAAATTGAAGATTGTTATGATAATAACAATAATTTTTTCCTAAGATCCAATAAATTATTCTCCCTATATTTTTTATTTGAAATGTTCATTTGGTTTGTATTTACAAGGATGTGGAATGGAATACCACTGTTGAAAAGTATAAATGCAATCTTATCTTTTACAGTGTTCATTGACTTTTAGTTGAAATATGACATTACTAAATTACACCTTTAGTTTTAGCTTGACTGTCTAGTTAAGCTTTTCTAGCTTATTATCATGGTTTTATTTTGCAAATTTTCAAAAAAAAATTCAGTTTTACAGTTTTAAAAGCTAAAGTGTAGTTTTGTTATGCATATTATGTTACATATACAGTACAAAGTCCGAAATCCAGACTTGTCGGGACTTCGGCGAGTCCGGATTTGGGATTTTTCTGGATATTAGATCATCAGTTTAAATCTAGTATGATGGCATGTAGAAATTATAAAATTAAAAATATGAAATTATGAAGTATTTATGATCTAAAGGCTAACAAACTTTACAAAAAAAAAAAGAAAAAAAAAAAAAAAAAAAAAAAGCTTAATATTTATTTGTTTACCTTATTAAACATTTCTTTCAATGTAAGTTGTTTAAGTTGCTTCGATTTTTTATGCTAATACTTTCTCTTTAGTTATGTAGACAGACATAATCTCTTGTTTAGTTACATTGTTGAAGTCCTGTAATTGCTGTTTCGAGAATTCTGACTAACTTGTAATAAAAATTTTCTCGTTTTTCAGTAACTTCTCTGTCACTTTCTTCACTATCGGTAGCGATATTTTCTGGATCAAGAACAATACTACAGATTTCCCGATTCGCTAATTGATTGATGATTGAGAAGCATTGTCATCAAAATGAAAAACTTCTTTTATGTTATCTTCATTTATTACCACTTTTTCAAATTTCTTTACAAAATCCGTTAATTGGAAAATTTTACCTTTGTTTTGCGATAGCCGAAAACCTTTAAAATTAGCGGTTATCATCATCAAATTTAGCTATCCTAACTTGTTCCGTTAAATTTTATCTTGCTTCTATTGTGCACTGAGACAATTAAGCCTGGATTGTATTAGTTATTTATTATACTAATGCTACTAATTACTATTATACTAATGTCTATTTCTTGCACATGCTTAAGGCTTATCAGAGTTCTGAATAAATAAATTCCCACATATACTTAAGCCTTATTGAAGGCTGGTGCTAGATATCTTATCGCCTGATGCAGTCTCTGTGAGTCCTAAATTCTGCGACTCGGTGCGACCACACGAGCCCTGGTGTTGGTCCTGGGTTTATGTGAATAACAAATCAGTTATTCTTAATTCAAATAGCCCTAAATGTAATCTTTGGGTCTATGAATATCATCAACAAAATCTATTTTTAGCATATGGAAAGAAATTTTTGGTAAATTCTTCCTCGTCAACAGTTTTTAGTGCATTTAACTTAAATCTGTAGTCATCACCAAGCGTAATGTCAACATAAAAGGTTACCATACTCTTTTATTATTCAATTACTAATATAAAAAATGTTTAGGCATCGCTACATGAGTCATTACTCAAGTTGTCATATTTTGATAAACATACGGGGATGAAAGGAAAGTATAATAAATAATGATTCTCCAGGTTGGCGTCAGATCAACGATTTATCTATGTGGAAAATTTCGGTTTTAGATAAGTGCCAAGCAGATACGTAGCAATGAAGCAAAATTACTGGTCATACAAATTTATGCTAAAATGATTGTTTCTTCAATAATAAGGTATTTTATTTAGTGTCAAAGTGACATTAAGAATTGGGACTCTCCTGATGTTTTATTATTCGAGGATGAGGGGAATCAAATGCGCATGCGTAATTCCTACTAGAAAAAATGTTGTTGGTGGTTTTGAGGTCTGGATTTTAGATCATTCCGGATAATGGACGTCCGGATTTCATACTTTGAACTGTGTATGGCATTAAAATGTTATAAAGTATATATACATTTAACCATATTTATAAAAATTGCATTTAGTGTGATTTCATAAATTTTGTCTTTTAATATTAATAGAATGAAATTGCAGAAGATACCCATTGTGGAGTATTCGCTGAAGATCTGGAATTAGATGAAATATCTGCCCCAAAAATTCAACCTCTTTCTCCAAAACAACAGCTGTTTGCCATCCGTAAAATTTTAGAATCTTCAGATTTTGAAGGACCATTTTCTGTAATCCCTGGGATTTGCCCAATTCTGCATTTTACTTACAGAAAGTTATCTTGTGATTTATCTCTTGATAACAAGTAAGTGTAAGTACAGAGAATTTTATGTGGATAGTTCTCATATGTAATGTTTTGTTGATAAATTATAGTTCTTGTTTCTGTTTAAAAAAAAAAAATGTGTCGAAGTTATTGAAGGTATTCATTTTACTGATAGCTAATCAAAAGTATAGGTTGAATTAACATATGAATGTATTCTCACTGCTATCTGTAGTTAATGTACAATGGTCATCAAAATGAATGATAATCAGAATTACGCACCCTTATTTAGAAGGCCACACACATGTAGATGTAGAAAAACGTATGTGTGTCTAGATCCGGGCTAAAAGTAGCATTCAGTATTGAAAGTTAACCTGTGTCCTTCACAAGACGTAGGTAACTTTTTTGAGACCAAATTTAGGAAAAAAAGTGCGTCTTATATGCCGTCAAATACGGTAAAGGTTGATGACAGAAATAAAATGTAACCGATACTTAATGAAAAATTATTAATATAAGTTTGTACAAAAGCATTAGTTAATATAAATTACAATGTTTGACAGTTTATTATTCACAAAATATTGAAATTAAAACCAAGTTTGTGGAAACTGGAAAATGATGGAAAAATTAAGTCATCTGTTAGGGAAATTTTTTTTCTTTAATAGGGTGTATGGTCACCTCGGACAGATATGCATACCTCACATCTTGATTTTATAGTTTTTACCAAAGTGTTGAATAAGTCTTGTGGAACTGCACTCCACTCTTCTAAATGTGCACTTTTGAGCTCCTGGAGGATCCGGGGAGGAATTTGTCATGCTGAAATTCGGCACCCCAAGACTCAATTGGGCTCAAGTCAGGACGCCTATTCTATGATCACTGGATCTGTCTACAACTTGAGCGAACAATATTGACTCAAAAGAACCGGTATGGACAGCCATCACAACTTATCGGAGAAAGCCATTCTGTGGTCCTCAGTTGGAGGCGGGTGGGTCCATTTAACTTTACTGGAAGGGGCAAGGCTTCAAGGAGCTTTAGACAATCGCAGTACAGACGAGTGACGAAATTTATAGCGCGCGCTGGCTGAAGTTCTAAGAATATTCTCCCATTATTTCACTAACTCACACGCTGCATTTGTAGTTCGAAAAAAAAATTGCACAAAACAGTATTATGACCAACACGCAGTAGAATATGCTGCTGTGTTATGTGAAAAACATCTCGTTTTTTAATGGGAAATTTAACGCAGGAATTTAGAGGTAAAAATAAAGAGTGATATAGGATACCATGAAAGCCATGGTAAATAGATAAGAGTAAATGAATTAAGCTTACTTCAAATCCTTTTAGAAATAAACAATTTTAATTATTTAAATTTATAATATGATTAATTTTTGCATTACAATCTAATAGCAAACTAAGTTTTTTTTTTTTTTTTTTTTTTCCCATGTTTACATTAAAACTGTTTTCCCGCAATTTATTTTACAGTTACTATTCGAAAAATATTTCTTTAAATAAGAATTAGAAAGAAAATATTTCTTTCTATATTCTTCCTTTTTTTTTTTTCTTTTTCTATGAAAATTATTCTTTCAGGAAAAGAAATAAAATTCATTCGCTATTACAGTATGGCCGATTGCTGCTGCATTCAATATCACACACGCATCAAAATGCTTTATTTTAAATAATTTATTCTATAATTAACATGAAAGAAAATATTTTTTCAATATAAAATATATAACCAAAATTAAAACTAATCTATCCTGTATGTTGATTATTCGTTTTGCAATTTTTGCACACAATTACTATACCTTTTTTTTCAATATACATTGCTTTTATTTTAATTTTGTATATAAGAACTGCTCAGTTTAAATATTCTTCCTTCTCAAAAGATTTTGTTCTTTGAAAATAATTAAAAGATAGTAATATTTTCACAATGGAAGTACTAAAGTAAAATAATCAGTGTAGGTCTCCTGCAGTTCAAGTCCTTATCAAACCAGCGTTTCGACACATTTTAAATAGAAAACTAATAATAATCAATATCTCTTTTACAATAAAAAATGAGAATGCTATGAACAGTATTTTTTTTATTTTTTATTTATATTTTTTTTTTAAGTTTGCAAAGAAACAATGAATTTTTTTAATACTAATAGATTACAAACGTACTTCTTCCATGAACAAACCCTCAATCTTATAGCATTGTTACTTTATAGCATAATACAAATAATAATGCAGTATAATTCTGCTAACAAGCTCACCAGCGGCCGAGCGATAGAGTCGCTGAACGCAGGTAGTTTGGTCCGAGGTTTGAATCTCACAAACGAGCTGGCCGCATCAGCGTTTCCGTGGCTTTCCCCATGTGTAATGTGTATACGTGCCAGTTTCCCTTAGAAAGTCCTCCCTTAGAAACCAGTTTTAAAACATAATAAAATTCCACACATATATTAAAAAAAAAAAAAAAAATTCTTGAAAGCCTTCAGATTTTAAATTATTACTCCCAAAGGGCCATTTTTTTAATGTTTTATGTATTACCTTTATTTATTAAATATCATCTTCTTCGCACTTAAACATAAATTCAATTCAAAACGGCAATATCAATATAATTTTAAAAAAGCATATTTTTAGAATTTCCGTACATAGTCTCGCGCGCTAGAGATGAAAGTGATTTTTGCCATTGCTCGCTTTTTGAAATCGTTTGGGTTTCTTAATCAAAAACTCATTAATGCTTTACAAAATATGATATATGAAATGGATAGTAATACAAATTCCCATTCCAAATTTTGGGCCTCCAGATGCCTATATTAGGATGGAGGATTACGTTATTCAGAATTTCATGGCTCTAGGTACCGTTGTTTTTTATCACAGTGCGAGAAACATTCATACATTCTGCAGATTCCTCATTATTATTTCTTTAAATATAATAGAGTGCGAGAATACTTGGTGGCAACGATTTGAAAGTGAAACGCCATTTATCGTGAAACGCCACAAAATGGCAAACGAAATTAATAGCCCCTCTGGCTAAAACTTATTTTTAAAAGTATCACACTAGTAGTAGTACAACTACTGAAAAAAATATTATAATCTATTTTATAGTTTTATAATTATAATTATTATTATTATTTTAAATTTTTATTTTAGTGTGAATTTCACGTAATAATGAACGACATTTTTTGTGTGTCACAGTATTATTCGTAAGGTATTCAACTGTTAGATTTTAAAGTAAATGTAATTCTTGCTGTACATAATCGATTAGAAGCTTATCGGATGTCTATATTTGTATTAAATGAAAAAAGGTTTATGTGCTTGATAAACTTATTATCTTCTACTTTTTAAAGAGTACATTACAATTTATATCTATAATTTCAGGAATAGTATAACCTTTCTTTCAGTAGAAATTGCGTTCTTTTTTTCTGAATGTGGCTCCAAATACTCTCTCAGTTCATCCCAAATTAAAATAACTATAAATTTTGGCAATCTGAAATACGCAATGAAAACATCTTTTGGCAGAGCAAAAGCATCAACATATTTTCTATAAATTCGCCATCGATTCAGAGATCTACGACGGTATTCTTCGTTTAATATGAAAAAAATCAGCGGCGAAAACACATACAAAGCCATTGTCTACTTAGTACGTCAACTGGACAACCTTGATTGACGACGCGGCAACACTTTTTCACGCGCTTTCGACAACTTCCGTACTCAGAGAATATAGGATGTTGGGCAGACCTGTTTTTTACTAGCAGTGACATCTGGAGGCCCACAACTTGCTGTCGACTCTCGTAGCGTAGAATAACCGTCCAGGTGAGTAAGGTGGCCAATTCATTCGAGTGATATCTTCTGTTTGCAAGTATTCTGACATGAGGCCAAGCATTGTTATCCATTAGTAAAAAGTCTGAGCCAACAATACCTGTAAACAGTCTAACTTGGGGTTCCAATATTTTGTCCATATATCTCCAAGCATTTATAGAACCTATTTGAAAAATATGCCTTCCCCTTGGTAGATATGCCTTATGTGCTTTGCTGTAACTAAATAAACCTAAACCTTTACAAGGGAAAAAAAAATGCATTCAGTGCAACAAATACTAATTACCATCGCATTGAAGTTGAAAATCCTCACACATTTACTACACCTGCGTGTATACCTTGCTGGTATACATCATGATTGCCCATGTTAGTGACATCATGGTTTGCCTGTTGACAATATTCTAGTATTCACAAGATAAGGTAACACTCTGTGTCACAGTGTGTTGCCTCCTGAATACTTTTCTATAGGGTGCAAGTATTTTGGACAGTAATTTGCTTGGTATCATTTTCCTTCTTTTAGTGCTACAATGCATCTATTTGATAAAGACAATATGTATCTTTCTGGTATGAAGATATATAGATAAAAGAACTTAATTGCTTGGCATATAACTCTGGCCACAGTTATCCTGGTTATATGAGCTGGCATACTGCACATTAGGTACACTTGACCAGAATTATTTGTTGACTGTTTACTATGATATAAAACGAATTGGAAGCAAATGCCCTGAGTAGTATGAACTTATTGGTAAACATTATTTATGGTTATCTGATAAATTTGAGCTGCAGTATTTCGTATGTTTATATAATGTATTAAAAAAATAATGGGATGGAGCAAGATTATCGGAGTTCTTTTTTTTTACTTGCATAATTGGATACAGAAAGTTGCAACTTCAGAATTATTTTGTAACCATTTAGTAAAAATGTAAAAAGTTTCAAGGTTCATTTTTCAGTTTTTATAAAAGTATAAAGTTAGATAAGTTCAAATTATTGAAAGCAAGTATTTAAGATCAGTAATGTGTGCTGAAGTATAATACATAAATTTACATCAAGTAAAGCTTTATTTTGTCTTTGAATTAAATATTTCTTGTACATTATAAAGTAATACATAAAAATTCTGAAGGAACTCAATAATCTCTCTTAATTTTCTTTGTTCTTTTTAGTTTAAAGAATTTTTTTTATATTAAAAATGAACCTTTTACTTTTGATAAATAATATGCTAAATACATTATCTAAAACAGGGTTTCTTAAACTGTGGGTCGCAAGACCTGCAGCAGGAGGTCGCCAAAAATTTTAGCAGTTTTGATATTTCTTTAACTTATAATAATTGCACAATTATCAAATATTTTTGTACAATGTATCTGAAAACAGATAAAAATAAGACAATACAGACAAAGGGGAAAAAAAAACTTTCGATGCATTCTTTTTAGAACATAAACATTCATTTTCCTTGCTTTGCATGTGACGCTGTCATTTCGTCTGTTACTTATTTAAAATTTTCACATTGTTCTATATCTTAAAATTAGAACTGCAATAGTATGTTACAGTAACAAGTGAAAAAGTTGACAGTTTCACTCATGTGTGTGTTGGATTTGTGCAATACTTATGGGGTCCCACAAAATTTTTAAAAATAATATGGGATTCTGGGTTGCAAAAAAATCTCAGTGATAAAAAGGAGTCGCGACTGAAAAAAGTTAAAATTCCTGACCTAGAACAATAAGATCCCTAGATAAGTTCCCTTATGTAGAATAAGTTTGGAGTATTAGTAAACTTAGTTTGGACATAAAATTTTAAAATGTCCATAAATTATAAATATTATGTTTCACTTTTTGAAGAATATTTACTAAATTTCTGAAGTACAGAAACAAAAGTTTAAGGCTTTGTTTTTTCACCAATTGCAGAATACAGTTACTTTATAAAACAGTCTTGAAAATGAATTTTATTTATTAAAATATTTATTAAATTACTATTATTTTATTTTCCAGACAAAAATCACAGTTATCTCCATTAAATAATAATAAAGTTTTTATATTTGTATTTCATATTTATTTTATTATATCGTTAATGCATATTTATCCACTTATAATACAGATTTATATGTGCATTTTATTCAGCATACTGGAAATTTCCAGATCTCCAACAAAACATATATAATTAATTGTACATACTGATTAAAAATACCCATTTTAAAATTTAGCTTTAATGCATAACAGATTTAAATCACTTTTATTCATTTCTATATCGTTAAGAAAAGATCTATGTTAATGCTTTGTTATTTTTGTAGTTAGTCTTGATTTTTAAGAATTTCGTACATTTCTTTGAGGTCTATAGTCTCTATAGTCTTTTACTTATATTATCTGGCTGTCTCTGAGTTTTACATATCTTACTGTGTCGTTTTTCAAGGTATAGTAACCCCCCAAAGTATTGGAAAGATAATGTTTTTAAAATAAGTCTATATTTGTTGGTTTTCAATAACAATTATTGAAAGCTATCAGATATATCAGTACTTTACTTAATATGTAAATAAATAAGCCTGGTGCTTATATATTTTCATCCTAAGATTAGAGAATAATTTTCTTTTGTTTCAGTTATCTATTTAAAGTACTTGTTTCATGTTATTAATGAAAAACAAGTATTTCAAATATTGTCATGTTTTTCTTCTTATTGAAACATATTTGTTTCTTGATTGACTTTTATTTATTTATCTATTTTTAGGTCTGCATTATATGGGACAAATTTGATGCGCTTCTGTGAAAAGTTAGATAGTCGAGTAGCTCCTCTTTTTCAAATAATTAGTTACTGGGCTAAAGGTTCACACTTGATTGGAGGGCCATTAAAATTCAAAACTTATGCATTTTTCCTTCTTCTTGTTTATTTTCTCCAGACTCGGACTCCTCCTGTTCTACCACCTGTGGATATCATATTAGATAAAACTGGTACATGATTTCATTCCTAATTATAATTTTTAAAAGTTGATTTTACAGTCTCAAATTTTACTATAAGATGTAGTTTGAAATGATTTATTATTACAGTACAAAGTCTTTAATCCGGACTCGTCAGGATTTCAGTGCTTCCGAATTAGGTTTTTTTCCAGATTGTAGATCATCAATTTAAATCTGGTAAGAAGGCATGCAGAAATAATAAAATAAAAAATATGAAACCATAATTTATGAAATAAAGAGTAATTATGATCTAAAGGGTATCAAAATTTCCAAAAAAAAAAAGCTTAATATTTATTTGTTTACTTTATTAAACATTTCTTTCAATGTAAGTTGTTTAAGTTACTTCGTTTTATGTGCTAACACTTTCTCTTTAATTCTATAAACAGACATAATTTCTTGTTCAGTTACAAAGTTCCACTGTTCAAGTTCTGTAATTCCCGTGCTGAGAATACCGACTAACTTGTCAATCGAAATTTTTTCGTTTTCACTAACCTCTCTGTCACTTTCTTCATGCCTTTATCCATTTTTTTGCAGCAATTCCACTTTTTGTTTGATGGACATTGAAACATGCTTTTGCTTTGTAGATCCTTTGGCAGCTCCAGAATCAGAAACTTTTTTTGACATAATCGAAAGTTCAAGCTTACTTTTTATAAAATTGGTCTAACAGTCTGCAAAAAATAATAAGCCGGATCCAATTAGAAGATTAAGGAACAATGCAATCTGCAAGATTAACTGAAATCGATAATTAGATAATTTTAGCCTAGTTTATACCGTCCGTTATATGTTAAACGTGCATGTGTAAACGCATATACGCATGCGCAGAAAATTTGTAGCTTTGAGGTCCCGAATATAGATCATTCCGGATTATGGACGTCTGTATTAAAGACTTTGTACTGTATTATTTTTTGCATTCTGGCATATATTTATTTTTACGGTGAAAAATAAAAGTTTATTTTCAATTAATGAGTGTATTGAAAATAAGGTTGTCGTAATAGATACCATAAAATGTCATATTTTCTGTGTTTTCCAAAATAATTCAGATGGTAGTTATTTATAGAAATTTACGAGGCGTATTCGGAAACTAAGTACTGTTTGAAAAAAAAAAAAAAATAGTAAAAAAATTTTTTTGAATCCAATTTTATTTTTACATGAAAATACATGTCTTAAACTATTTTTCAACATAGTTTCCGCCAATGATCAAACACTTGTCATAGCGGGTGACCAGTTTTTATATACCATCGTCAAAGAAACTTCCCGCCAGTTTCGATAACCATGACTCCACAGCATTTTTTGTGTCATCGTCAGATTCAAAGTGCTTGCCACCAAGCTGGTGCTTCATGTGCAGGAACAAGTGATAGTCAGGCGGCGCCAAGTCCAGGCTGTACGGTGGGTGATCGAACTGCTTCCAATGAAACCGTTGAATTAACGATTGAGTGACACCAGCAGTATGGGGCCGAGCATTATCATGGAGCAACACAATTCCTTTACTGAGCATTCCTCTTCGTTTGTTTTGAATGGCACGCCTTAGTTTTGTTAAAGTCTCACAAAGTCGTGCCGCATTAATGGTTTCACCTCTGGGAAGAAATTCAGTAAGCAAAACGCCTTTCCTATCCCAGAAGACAATGCACATGATTTTTTATGATGACATTGTCACTTTGAACTTTTGTTTTTTCAGAGAATGAGTGTGTCTCCACTCCATCGATTGTTGTTTCGATTCTGGTGTGAAATGACACACCCAAGTTTCATCACCTGTCACAATTTGGTTTAAAAAGTTTTCTCCCTCATCACTGTACCGTGTGAGAAATGTCAGGGCACTACCAAGTTGCTTTGTTTTGTGAACATCAGTGAGCATTTTTGGAACCCATCGGGAACACAGTTTGCGATAATTCAAGCGGTCAGACACAATATCGAAGAAAACAGTACGTGAAATTTGTGGAAATGCCTCTGAAAGATTTGTTATTGTGAAGCGTCTGTTCTCATGAATTGCTTCATCAACTTTCCTTACCAAATCATCAGTGACAACAGAAGGCTGAACACTCCGAGCCTCGGTGTGGACATTTGTTCGACCTGCATTAAACATTCTTACCCACTTTCTCACCATTCCATCACTTATCACGTATTCACCGTAAACTTCTGTCACTTGACGATAAATTTTGGCCATTTTAACATTCCTCGCGTTCAAAAATTTAATCACGGCACGAATCTCACAGTCGGCAGGAGAACTAATTGTCTTAAACCTTTTGAATGTGCACAGACAGCAAACTGAAAACACAACATAGAGCAACCAAAATGGCGACAATTGAAAGTCAGTGAACAAGAAAGAATAGCGCGCATGCACGGGACGCCTACCACAGCGCTGCGACGGCGCTAGAATGAAACGGTACTTAGTTTCTGAATACGCTATGTATGTACTAATGCTGTGCTGGCCAACTGAGATTTTTCTGAATTGCAGCAGTTCATCAAAATACTTGCTTATGCGAATCTGATAACCTCACATAATGAAAGGGACCTGATTTGCATTTGATAAAATGGGCCATCTGCACATCATGGATGGGAAAAAAAACAATGGCTAGACCTGCATCTCAAGATATTTAAGGTAAATAAAGGGTATAAAGTTTTGGCAAAAATATAGGAGATAGGTTCATCTGTAATGACTTAATTTCAGCTGATTTAAAAAAAAAAATCTCGTGTAAAGGTTAAAAAAGTGGGAAAATCATGAGAACATCAGTTCATCCTATCAACTTCAATGAAATCCAAGACAAAACTACTAATCATTAAAGGTTTTAATCACTGAGGATTAAAAAATTTTATTGTTATGCCTAAAATTTAAGGCATTTAAATAATTAAATTGATTGAAATAATAACTTTGATTAAAATAATAATTATGACTATAATTAACTATGAATTTTCAATCAAAATATTTTCCTCCCTCCAGATTTTCAAAAACATCTTGGAAATTGGTCATATGATATCTCTAAATATGTTAACAGCTTTTCACCATCTGAAAATATGCAAACTGCAGGTAAGCTTTACATTATTGAATTGAGGAAGCTTTACATTATTAAACTTTGAATGATCTTTTAAACATGTAACTTTGTATTAAAAAATGTGAAGCATATTCTAAAACATACAATGATTTCCCAAAACCCGCTTATTAAGTTTTCTAAATATTGGTAATGGGATGATATTATCTGTGCACACTATTTAGGAAAAATTTAGGACAGATTGGAATAAACCTTAGTAAGCAACAAAATTGCATGATGGATTTTGCTGAGAATTACAGCAAATATAAATTTTAATGAGTTTTTAAAACAGCATAGAAACATTATATATATATAAACTTTTTTTTTCATCAGACATTAGATAATAAAGGAATTTTTTTCAAAACATGAGATGGTAGAATGCATGAAAAACTATTTCAATATAGAATAGTCACTTACTCTTTTTTTTTTTTTTTTTTTTTTTTTTTTTTTTTTTTTTTTGCAATGCAGGACAAATGATGATTTTTCTTACTATTTATGGTGATGTCTTTTCCTCAGTGAAGAGTAACAATCTTTGGTAAAGTAATTTATTCCTTTAAAAAAAGTTATAAACCTCAGAGCCAATTATAATAGTAATACATTTCTTTAGGAATCTCATACTACACATGTTATCATACTGAAGTAGGAAAAGCAAACTGGTCAGTATGTTGAGTGAATTTATAACATGTATGTTATCTCTATTGTGACCTAAATCTCTAATGATAATGCCAATGATAAAATGTAACTGTTAACAGTTACACTATTAAACAGCAAACATATCTTTCATCCACTAAGAATATGAGTTTGTGAAAAGTTATTAAAAGAGAGGTAAAGATAATATTTAATTTGTCTAGTTCATCTTAAACAAATTTAGACTTAACCAAGGAAAATGTGAAGGAATATTATACAGTCAAAAGTCGTTAATTCGGACACCCATAATCTGGACCTCAAAGCTACAAACTTTCTGCGCATGCGTCGGGTTGATGCTTGCTCGTAAGATCATTACGGCTGCGAATATGCATGTGCGCGCGCGCAAAATATGTAATGCACATTTAATGTATAACAGACGGTATAAGCTAAGCTAAAATTATCTAATTCAGTTAATGTTGCAGATTGCGTTGTTCCTTAATCTTCGAATTGGATTCGGCTTATTATTTTGCAGACTGTTAGAGCAGTTTTATAAAAGTAAGCTTGAACTTTCGATTATGTCAAAATAGAATTTCCGATATATATTTACTAATATGTAAAGGATCTACAAAGCGAAAGTATGTTTCGAAGTCTATTAAACAAAAAGTGGAATTGCTGCAAAAAATAGATAAAGGCATATCCTTTGTTTATCTAAACAAAGGATATGCCTTTATCTATTTTTTGCAGTATCTTTAATGCTGCAGCGCACAATGAATTGGAAGTTGATCTGTCAGCACTATACTTATCTTCAGGGCAGATGTTTTTATTTTATTTGGCTTATAATTCCTTACTAAATGTAGTATTTCATCTCGATGTACTCCGTCTTTGATATGATTTAAATCAAATTCCTTGTCATTATAATTCGCTTCCGATAGCGAAGAAAGTAACAGAGGTTATTAAAAACGGAAAAATTTCAATTGAGAAATTAGTCAGTATTCTCGGCACAGCAATTATAGGACTTGAACAGCGGAACTTTGTAACTGAAGAAGAAATTATGTCTGTTTATAGAATTAAAGAGAATGTATTATCACATAAAAAATGAAACAACTTACATTGAAAGAAATGTTTAATAAAGTAAACAAATAAATATTAAGCTTTTTGTTTTTTTTTTTTTTTTTTTTTGTAAATTTTTGATACCCTTTAGATCATAATTGTTCTTATTTCATAAATTACGGTTTTCATATTTTTAATTTTATAATTTCTGCATGTCATCTTACCAGATTTAAACTGATGATCTGTAATTCGGAAAAATCGATAATCCGGAATCGCCGAAGTCCCGACGAATCCGGAGTAACGACTTTTGACTGTAGTAGTATTGTTTGGGATGCCTTCATAATAATGTCCCCATCATAAAAAATTGCAGCATCTTAATAAAAAATCTGCTACTATGCAGAAAGATACCAACTTGCTTATGGTTGCCGGCAGTTTTATGTCAATACATCACTATGCCTTGCTAATCAAAATAGAAAACTAAATCCTACTTGTGTAGCAGTACCCCAGTATAAAGATGATCTCACCTTTATGAAGGTTGGTTTTTAGAAGTTCGAAACTATTTTCATAAGCAAGCAGGCAAATATATGCTGGAGTACTTCATAAAAGTGTCTGTCTTTTTAAACAATGGTTGGCTTGATAGTTTCTTTAGAAGGGACACTGTATTGAAGTGGCTTCACTTGCTTTATATTTTGGATTTTAACCATATCAACTGGCAAATGTTAAAAACGGTAAGTTATTTCACAAAGTGTCCAACTTTAAGCTTTAGCTGAGCATATATATAGGTACGTGTGTGTATAATTTTTAATGATAATTTTTTTTAAAAATTATAAAATTTAGTTATATTTAGAGACATTTACTCTTTTTACTTCCTTGTACAAAGTAAAAAGGAAGTATTGTAATCGCGAAAAGTTTCAGGCAGCATATTTCAACAAAAATATCCATTTTGACCGTTATCAAATGCAATTTAACGATGTTTTTGCATGATATCTGTACGTAAAGACAGAATAAAAGACTTTTCCTCCAAAAAAATTATAAAACTGCTTTAAAATGAATTCTGAATTCGTGACGTCTGTAAGAACGTATGTATGTACGTATCTCACATAACTCAAGAACGAGTGGCCTCAGAACGTTGAAATTTTATATGTAGTACTGCTATAACATATAGATGTGCACCTCGTGTTTTGGTTGCAATCAGCTGCAGCAAACGTATATAAATATATTATATATATATCCACTCTGTTACCCGGCTCAGTGATCTCAGTTGCTCTTTACTCTTATATGTTTGTAAATTGTAAATTTTTTGCTTTAAAAATGATTGAATTATGTTGTTTCTTATCTTCTGGTTAAGGTTTTTATGCCTTTAGTAAATCTGTATGCAATATTTTTAGAATTATCAACAATTTTAAAGTTGTTTAAGTGCCGCTAAGCCTAATAATTTTTTTGAAGGCGGCCATTGCTTGTTTACATTTGAAACAGCAGAATAGTGGATTTGTTGCCAATCTAGAGAAACTTAGCTTCGCAACAACAAAGATAACGCCTTCATTTATTATTGCGAATTAAATCATGCTTAATCCTTTCTGGAATTTTTTCGAGGAAATAAGTGTTTAAGATTTACTTCGTTTTAATAATTAATTTAATTTTTAATATAGATATTTTGAGTTTTTATGTATTTTTGCCTTGTCGCGAAGTGAGAACTGAATTAATTGAATGAGAAATACTCAATCGTCTGTGAAAAACTGTTTCTTTTTTGTTTTGTTTGCTTAATTTCTTTTATACATCGTTCTAGCTTTATTATAGTATTTGAATAGAACATGTGGCAACGATTAGGTAATTCTTTAAATGATATAAATTTTGAATGCTGAGTTCTGACGAAATATTATAAAAATTTGAACCCCGTGCCAGAGTGTCGCTATGGTAAACAAGAGTGAATTTAAAGAATGCATTATTCTATTGTGGTTTATGCGCTTCGGCTAAGTAGTTTAATTCAATCCAATAATTTTAAACGAATTGCAAGAAAAATGCATATAATTTAATATTCCGTACAAGGAAGTCACGTGGTGCACACATCAGATTTTTTCTTTTATGTAAACCCAATCCTCAATAAGTCAGTTTTGTTTTTGTAAAGAAGGATAAACATTAGGTTTTCTTTTGTAGTTAGAAAAAGTGATTTAAATTTGAGACCCTTCCCTCTATAGAAAGAGTGATGAAGCATCGTTAAAGTTACCGGAAAAGCATAGCCTAATTTATAAGGCTTAATTTCTAAAATTAGAAGTGTTAGACCAAAACGGAGAGGCTTCAGAAAAAATTAACAAATACAAATAAATAACAAATAAGTAGGTAAAAATTAAAAGAATAAAAAGTTAAATTCGATGAAATGTAAGGAGATACACGAAGTTTAATAAATCAAGTTATATTAATGATAAATCATTAAAAAAAAAATTGCCAGATCTGATCTTAACTGAGACTCCGAACAATTTTATTCAAAAAGTAGACAATAGCTTAGCTAAGCTCCCAGTGAATTTAAATCATGAATATACAGTTTAGTGTAATATTTCAAGGGATGATGGGAAAAAGATTATTTTTCCCTAGTACACCAATTTACATTGTTCTAGCTTTATTGTAGTTGAATATACATTGGCACGATTAGATACTTCTTTAATAGTTAAATTTTGGGCTTCTGATTTAATATGAACGAAATAAAATACTGTTAAGTGAACCTAGCGCCAATTCACTTGGTAAACAAAATAGAGTGAATTTTAAAATCATTATTCTTGTGGTTTATGCGCTGTCGCGAAGTAGATTTAATTAAATCCAATAAGTTTAAATGAAATGCAAGGAAAAATATGTATAATTTAATATTCCGTACAAGTCGTGTGGTGTACACATAAGATTTTTTTATTAACATGTTGGCTGCCATGCACGTTTTACGTGGTTTGCCCATGACGCCAACTTGAAATTTTTTTATTATGCTATGTATATTATGTTGAAATATTATCTACAGAAGATAATGTGAGTTATATAGTCGTGCTTAATGCATTTTTCATGGGGGGAGTTACTGGTGACCCCCAAGGCTCTGTAGAACATTATTGGGATTTATAATTTAAATTTTTTACGATTTATTATTCTTCAAACCATTATAGTAACAATGGTACTATTTAGAAATTTATCACTATCGATATTTACTCTAATTATGTATTTTACTATTGGCCGCGTCGCCGGTGCTGTAGCCAAGTCGAATTCCGTTCACCGGTGACTCTCATGGCAGTCAACATGTTAATTATGAGTCTAAAATTTTAATTTATCGAACTTTCAAATAATTATTTTATCAATTGATGTTCTTTTAGTGTTCAGCCAGTTGAAGATTCTTTTGTAATAATAATAATAATAAAGAGTAATAGAGTGATCCAAATCTGAATAATTTACCTACAGAATGCAGTTTTGCAAGAGAAGTATTTTTTATTGCAATTTTTAGAAATGTCAACATTAATGAAGTAAATTTCTGAATAACTTTTGCAAATTTATAAAAAAAAATGGCAAAGAATGTTTTTTAAAGCATTTTATTACTTTTATTAAAATGCTTTTCATTTTTCTTATTTTTTATCATCTTGTCTCTTTCAGAAGAATTACTGCGAGAGTTTTTCTTCTTTTATTCAAACTTTGATTTATCATGGGTTATTTGCCCTAGAAGTTCTGATGTAATGAATATATGTTTTTTTAAACCAAAAGATGGAGAAGATAGTGGTTTTGAAGTAAGTATAGATATTTCTGTAGGTATAATCACTGAATAAAAAGAAAGATTTAAAGAAATCCTTAAAAATTAAATGTAAAAGATTACACTAAACAAATTAAAACAAATTATAACTAAGTATATAATATAATAATAAAAAGAATTATTGTTAGGAAGCATAAATGATAAGTCTGTTCCAAGATATGTAATTATGGTATTAGAAATATATTTTGCTACATTAAATGGTACAAATGTTTATAAAAGGTTAATAAGCTATGAAGATAGTTATTATACATTTCGTCAGTTGGAGATATTATTTAAAAAGTATGATCAAGATATAAAGTTTTAAGAAATATTTCTGTTGCTTTTTAAATTCCTCATTTAGCTAGACATATTTTGACTTGAAATGAAGATTTTATGCCACATCAAATGGATGTCTGAGAACTGGCAATTTGTCAGATCATGCATATGATAAATAAAAGGTATTATAGTTTATGGAATAGCAATAAATACCAGGTGGCATGGGTGATATATGCCTCAGTTATGCAATATATTATAAAGATTATAAGAAATGGAAAAAGTACGATGTTAACATGATTGAGTTTAAATTTAACCCTTTGCGGCACAGTGTGTCCGGTCTGGACATACCTAAAAATTTCCTTCTGTATGCACAGAAAAATTGAATGAAAAAGAATTTATAGATTACTATAGGTTACTCTGAACCTTCTTTATTTATAGTAGATGACAGCTCAGTACAAACCAGTCCATATATTTTAGCCATGTAGTTTTTTTAAGACCCTCGTTTTCAAAAAATCTTCCAGATTTTGTTTTAGGGTATAAAGGAATTGTTTGAAAAGAATTTAATTTTATTTTTTGGCTGTATGCTAATCTCCTTATTTATATTAGTTTAAATTTTTACCTTGAAATCTTGCCTAAAATCAAATGGCGAACCCTAGGGTGGCCCAGACCTGGCTCACCGTTATCTAGACAACTGAGAGTCTGTATTCTTTTTTTCTCATCGGTCAGTTCATTGACAACAATGCTCGTTCAGCACTCTTTTCGAATCCTATTCAATCAGTGTGCCACTTTGACACCCCACAGAATTAAAACGATAAGTGCTATCTTCAACAATTTTTTATTTGGACTCCTCTAGCCTGACTGCCTACCTTTTTTTTTTTTTTTTTTTCATCAAACTTCGACTTAAGGTAGCGTGCTGGAAAGGTTTAAATAAAGGCATAAAATACTATACTGTTTTTTTTTTTTTAAAGGCATGCTTTAATCTAGATTTAATTGCATAGAACCTGTAAATAGCCCTTTGCAGATATTCAATCAAATTTTGGAGTGTGACTAAAATAAATTAATTGATAATGTTTGAAACTTTTTTTTTTTTTTCTTTTTTTAAAAAATTCCAAGTTGAAATAGGCATTAAACGTAAAGTGTACATTTATCATAACATGTACAATGTGTACGTACAGCAATGTGTACAGTTATCGAAAAATTGTACACATTGCTGTTTACCAGACTTTTCCATTTATTGGGCAAAATAATTAGACCATAAATTTAGAATATCTGAACATTAATAAAAGTTCTGTTTTTCATTCTGTTCATAAATGTTCTTTTTCATCCTTTTAGTCAAAGAAATAGGAATGTATAATAATTATTTAGCAATGCGTATATTTCCATAGATTTTTTTCTTTGATAATATTGTTGCAAATCAGTTTATTGAAAATATTTAGAAGTAAATTTGTTTGAAAAAAAAAAAAAGGATAATTGAGCCATCTTTTTTTATGATACTCTGATGACGAGATGTATAAATTGTATCTATTATCTCTAATATTTTTATTTATTAAAGAGAGTTATTTTCATATGTATTTGACTTTGTTCATTTTCTTAAATTATTATTTTTTTTTTCCTCCTTTATTTCAATAGTTGAATACAGTTTGCATTCAAGATCCCATTGATCTACACTGGAATGTGACAAAAGGTGTGTCATATAAATATTGTAAGAAATTTGGAAAAAGCCTTCTTTCTGTTTGTGAAATTTATCAGCATACCAAGAACATATTTTTGTCTCCCCAGAACTGGGGCCTTATATCTATTTTTGACAGCAAACTTAATCCCGATTTATTTATTAGCAATGACTGTGTTACAATACAATTACCATTGCCTATATCTGCAGTCAATTTATCTTCTATGGAAAGTTTTGAGAAGGAAATACAAAATGTTGCTAAGTATATTTTTCACATCTTGGATTATTGTTTATTATTTCAATGCAAATTTCTAGATATGACCAATGAAACAGAATTATTTGTCTCACACAATAACAGTACTTGTAAAGATAAAATTCCATCACAATACCACTTTTCTGAACATCTTATTTATTGTGCATCTTGTATTGCATCTAATGCATGGTATGGAAGAAATAGCTGGAATGTTCGAAGAACAGGGACTAATTTTAATAAATTAGATACTGAACGTCATATATCGAAATTAATAGTTCAATACAGAGAAAATGAAATGGAGAAACAGAACAGTTTTTCACTTCAACAGAAGAAAGATGAAGAAAAGGAAAAGTTCAGTTTTTTGTGTGAATGTTCAAGTATACATGAAGTCTCTAGCATTTCATTGCTTGTAAAACTAAAGCCAACAAACAGTGATAAATTTTTACGAGGACTAGCAGTATTTTTGAAAGAATATATACCTTACATGTGTAGATATCTTTGATGTAAATATCTGTTTTAAAAGCTGAATATTGAATATGCATTCATAATATATTTATTTTGATCTCGTTTTTCTTGCCTGTTTGTATGTAATTTTTTTACTCCTAATGTTGCATCATTGTCAATTAATTTTATTTTGTAGATTACTACCTTTGAAGGCAATCAGTATTTCTGGGAACATAAATAAACATCAGAGTTGATAATTATAATATTCTCTAAAATGACAGTCTCTAACCTGATTGAGGCCATCTAATATGCATCAAAGCAGCCACTAAAATGTCCAATTTCATTTTCAAAATGTTTTATGCATTAAGAAAATCAAAAAATTACATTTCCTATTCTGTGACAACAAAACTACTTTTATGTAAAAGTGTGGTTAAACATTTTTTAAATGTTTCATTTTATCCTTACTGAGCCTGGTGATTTGATGTTTATGATATAGCATTCTTTATATAATTCATCACATTCTTAAATTGTTTATATTAATGTTTTTCATACCTATATAAGCTGGTAACATGTAACAAATCAATGCTCTTGGCACTTTAGTAATTTGTATCTGTTTTAATATTATTATAATCAGTCATGCTTACTTTAAATTTTGCAATTTTAGTCCATATATGTATATGCACATATTTTTAAATACATATTTTTGTAAATAAACAAGATTAATCTGAGATATACTTACTGTAATTTCCGGAAGAAAGGCCACATCAGCATAAACGCCACACTTGAGAAAAATGGCGGAAAAAAATTAAAATTACACAGAAACGTCGCATCAGCATAAATGCCGCAATAGATTAAATTGTGCGTGACATCGTCCTGCCATTAGAGAATCTCAACCTTCCTGATATATGACATATCAGTTAAGAAAGCAGAAAGGAAACCATACTCAAAAATAAATTAAGTAAGAAATTTTAAAATTATATTTACATTCACGATTCTTTTTTTACTCATAAGAATTCCATATTTGTTTCAGACTATATATAAATATGTTACACGAAAATAAAATACAACAATAAAAGGAGAAAAGTAAATTTTAAATTTTACTTGCAAAGGAATTACAGCAAAACTATATAAGCCATCAAACCTGATTTTTCACTATCTATTAAAAAGATTTAGTAATCCTGATCTAGTCCAGTCTTCCAGATCGTCACATTCATCCTCTTGGTTTACAGGGTCTTTATCTAAGGATATAATTTCCTTTGAACCCTTCTATTATTAATGTTTTACCGCTTTCCAAGCACTTCCTACTCACTTTTCAACTTCCTCTTCATAAGATGCTCTCACATTTTACCGCTTGGTATACGTATGCAATCCTTCACTCTCAATACTCCTCCATTTTTTCGACTTCAGCTTTGAAGGATTTATTACCTGACAAATCTAATGGTTGTAAGATTTTTTGTCAAACCACCAGGAATTATGCTACAGTGGAGACAGTTTTTGAATCTTGTTTCTCTGATTCAAGTAATGAGCACCACGGATCCATTAATCAATAACCCTTTTGATGGAAAAAAAGCTCCTACGAGGCTACCAACTTTTTGTAGCCACTCATACACAATTGTTTCGCACATCCAGCCATTCTGTTTGCACAATAATTACGTCATAGAAATCTCCTTCGGAGACTTTTCGTTTAAAAATTATCATGGCTTAGCGTCACCATTTGAGGCACAAGCTAACACACTGAAATGATGTTCTTCATGCCCCCTCGTAAGCACAGATACAGTTTTTGCAACCAGTTCATCAACGTTCTGTTTGCAGAGAGTCGAAAGCTAATGGCGTTTTTATCCATATTTTTATTCGTGACCAAAGAAGTTTTTTTTTTGTTGGGGCAATATATCTGTCACTATTTTTAAAGATGTCTTTTATCGGCTATCCCTTGGTAATTGGCACCCGACGTTGTTCTAGTACGCACAGAAATATTTTTTCTTTTCATAAATCTGCTACACCAGCAAGGCCTCCTTTTAAATCATTTATGGTCATTTGTTTTGCTATAATTTGCTTTAATCGAAGTTTACAGTCAAATGCCTTCCCTTTCCTTGTTGCTCCTTTATCCAGTTTTCAAGGTCTCCTAGATTCGGCCACCTTACAGTACCACTTCTTTTGGCTCTTCTGTTGTGGCATATCTTCAATTCTTCTTTTTCAGTTCTCCAACGTCGAATACATCTCTCGTCCACTTCAAACTCTGTAGCTGCTGCTCTATTTCCAATTTGTTCAGCACGTAAAATTACATTAAGCTTAAAAACAGCAGTATAGCTTTTGTGCCGGTTAGGTGCCATTTTCAAAAATTTTCTGCTCCCTTCTTAAAAACTATCTAACAAGTACCCAAACTGATGAGATCTGTATTTGGCAAAATGCCATGAAAAATCAATTCGTGCTGAAGGAGAAATATGTCAGAGTTTGTTACTGCGATGCAGGTGGAGTCGTGTCCGCCTTTGAAAAAAATTGCAGAAAAGCAGGGGTGGGGAGAGGAGGTCCTGGAAAATTCATCGAATGCAGAGGAGGAGAGACTATGAGATGATGTGAAAGGAGTTAAGAATATTTTGTTCTGAGATCCCGTGTAGGGTGAATAAGGCATTTAGGTCCATTCAAGGTAAAGAATGTAAGCAAAATAACGTTCGCAAAAAGCAACTGAGTGGTCTTTTGTGTGGGAACAGCACCAGTTAATGTACAATGACTATCATAGGAAATATTTTATTTTTAGTGCACCCAAACGCTGCATGGGTACAAACACCACACCCGCTGAAAATTTAAAGTTTTAAACACATAAATGCTGCGGTGTTTCTTCCGGAAATTACGGTACTTCAAATCTATGTTTAAGGCATCTATCTGCAAAACAAAAAATAAACACATTGGAAGGTTATCACAATCTATTAGGTTATCACATGTTACAGAAGATGTTACTTGAGGTTTGTAACAAAAGAACTTGACAGAAAAATAGAAGTACAAGTTAAACACAAATCTAAAAATTTGTCAAGAAAAAGGAAATAATGAATCACGAATGGTTCAAAAATTTTTAAAAATCTGTGAAGAATGAAACTCTACAACCATGTAAAGAAATAAGTATTTAATTTAATTTGATTTGAAAGTACTAATGCAAATTGCCATGACTGAAAAAAGCTAAGAGTTATGTATAACTACTTTAGTTTGAGAAATTCTGTGCAGGCAAGGGTTGGTTAGAATAACTATCATAAAAGAAATGTGTTATAAAAAACTTACTTAGAGGAGGTGAATCCACCAGTGAGAATAATGTTGTAGAACAATTGCTGCAATTTTTGTTATTCATAAAACAATATTATTTCAAGTTATTCATAATATTGATGAGATGAGCCTTTGCTATTGATTATGCACTAAATTGTTGCCATTCTAATTCATATTGTTACAAAATGTACAGGTGCGGTAAGATAGGTCCCCCGTAAAGCAGGTTTAGAATTGCCATAAAATGGCAAGGGAAGGCAGGGTTGCTACATATGGTGAGAAATCTCCCATCTGGCGACAAAATTGGCGATATGCCATGGACGGATGGAACTTTTTGGAATGATTTCTTACCGGTTTAGCCCAGAATGTTCTCGAACACAAGCCAAGAACTATATAAATCCTGCTAGTACACGGAGAAGTCAGTGCGAGATAGTTACTGTCTCGAGTTAGTCAGTCTGTGCAGAGTTGATCGAGTTGACAGCCGGGCAGCGAGTGCCGAGTGAGTCGTCGAGTGCATCGAAAGAGTCTCTTAGTGTATTGCGAGGTTGTGCATCGTCGAGAGAGTGTGTTGAGCTCCGGAAATGACTGAACCAAAGAGTCGGGAGCTGTACTCTGGTGCTTTGCAGTGAAGCTGTCTCCACCATTATAGCCTGATAATCTGAAGGCTGCGTCGCTGATTGTTCCAGCAAGTGTATAGTAGATCTTCGACAACTGTAAAACGTGACTTTGGAGATGTCCTGATTAATATTGGCTAAATAAAGTGTGTTTTGATACTTTATCGACTGTCGTCGTTATTCACTCGAAATCCCCCCCCCAAAAAAAACGTAACTACTGGTGTCAGAAGTGGGATTTGCGAGTGAATGCTATCATTATGTATTGTTTTTTCATTAATGTACAGTTAAAACTCCCACAGATGAAAGTGGAGCTTGCAGGAGAAACTGGAGCCATAAAAGAAGAGATGATGGAAGTGGCATCTAAAGAATCAAAGGATGAAGAAATAAAGAAAGTAGCTGGTGGAGTGTCTGAAAAAGAACCAGAAACGATCGATAAAACACGTAACGGGATTAAAGAAAAAGAGCGAAAACATGAAGAAATAAAAGACGGATAGGAAGATTTTGATTCTCACATGCTCGAAATAGAGATAGAACAAAGCGAAAATGCGACTGTCAAGTTCATAGAAACTAATAGTGAAATTATGAAAACGCAGCAAGTTTTGAACCATCTGAAAGTTCATGTGATGCTGAGATGGAAGAGGCTGATATACAACATACGCAGAGTGCTTTAGTATTGCAAGAAAATTCACCCACTTTACAAACTGGGTGTGTGCCTCATAGTGCAGGTTTTGCAGTCAGGGACTTGATTTTAAGCCAAGATACTTATGTTTGTGAAGAATCGGGTTCCGTTCATGATTCTGATGCAGAATTTGGAGTTTGTTCTCAGGAAACGGAGGAAAATGTGCATGTATCAGCTTCTGAAAATACCGAGGTGAACTGTACACATGATGCTAATAGACTTCAGATTGGTGAACAAACTGTTTCAGGTCTTTCTGTGGATGGAAAGTCGGAAAGGACTGAATCTTCAGACATTGATATGCATATCGGACATACATCTGACAACTGCAGTGGAAAAGTATTTGACTCGGGAGTAACTTAATAAAAAGATTGAGACTGAAATTCATTTTGAACTTTAGTTTGTATAATTTAAAATTGTTATGTGTTTAATTTGTGTATATACCTTTTACATAGTGTAAATATTTATTTTTTTAGTTATGTTATTTTGTTTGTTTTATTGCGTTTTGTTTGTATTGAACTTGTCTTTTGACCAAGGGTTGTACTACCTGAGACGTGCAGTCTTTGGGAGGTGTTACGAAACGTAC